CAGTTCCACGTGAAAGCACCCGGTGATCGGTAGAGGCCCAGAGGCAATCGATCATTCGGAGTGTGCGTGTGTCTCCCCTCAGACCTGTGAGAGTGTGTGTGTGTGTGAGAGAGAGAGAGAGAGAGAGAGAGAGAGAGAGAGAGAGAGAGAGAGAGAGAGCCCTCATGAGAATCAAGCGGCTGGTTGGCTGGTTGGCTCTCTTTTACTGGGTAAGGCTGGCGATGTTTGACCCGAACATGTATTGCAGCACGGGTGGATGTTTTTTTTTTTTAACTGTCCGCCACGGCGACGCTTGCTAGGTGCTTCGAACAACTGCACGTGCTACACGAGGCGTTTTGGGTGAGGGGGCTCGTGCTCCCCGTGGCCAGCCGCGAGGGCTGGGGGTAAATAAGGTAAGATATTAGATACTTGAGTGGTTAGCGGCGTTGTTCCCATGTTTGGGCGACTGGGCGAAAGGCGAGAGGGTCGTGGCGTCGGCCTTGCGTTTAGTCGATGCCGCATTGTTGTGCAGCGTATGATGTGTGATGACTTAGTACGATTGTTAGAGAGACGGACAGCCATGTGAACCGGGAAGTTGGTGGGCGCCGCGTCACATGGCATACAATTATCCGTTTCAGCTGTTTGAAATTATTCTTGTATGCGTTACAGCTGTGTCCTGGGACTGGGAGAAGCAAGAGCAAAAGTGACACGTCCCTCGCAGTGTGCTAAGTTTTTGGTGGACTCAAACGAGGTCACTGGTTGTACTGTACTTCGAAGCAGTTTTTTTTTTTTTTCCTTTTTGATTTTGTTTGTCTTTGTGCGTGTCGGGTTGCCTGGGCAGTTGTAGGTGAGATACGTTTGGACGCCGTGTGTTGTAGATGGCGTGCAGTTGCGGCAATCGTTTGAAGCTTCCAAGGGTTTCGAAATTTATTTCAGTCATCATCAGATTGGTGGTCATGGTCGGCTTTCCCAGCCTGGGTTTCGCGGCTTCCGCTGCAAGGTTGTGTATTTGGTATTATAGTATGATACTTGTTGTGTTCAGTTCTGTTGATCACATAATAACTGGCAGAAGATTATCTTGTGTGTGCATCGCAATGCCGTGAGTTTTAGTGCGCACGCACGGAGTTTGAACGGCCTTGCTCTCCGCCGCAACTTCGCGTTTTGTGCGACCAGGTGTCAGTCAAGTCTTGTCTTCTTACTCTTCTTGGTCTGGTGTCCAAACTTGGTGTGGTGTTGATGTTGATCTCATCACTTCGTGCTGAGCGTGCGGTCGGCGGCCCCGTCGCATACAGCCGTCGGTATGCATATACATGCATACGTAATGGTGGTCTTGTCTCGCGTGTTGTGGCAAGGAGTGGGGCACGCATACCGTACCGTGTGGTCCTTCGTATTCCCTGTGTCACCGCTGACGTTTGGTTGTGAGAGCTAGCTAGTATAGCATGTCGACTATAATAGCGCTGAGCGCACGCCTAATTGCAGTATAATATAGTACCAGTATCGAAGCCCATGTCAAGTTCCGTACCAAAGTGACGATGCATGCGCATACGTACCACGTTTGTTCATGTAGCTCCTGTGCGGCTTGAGCTTGGCTCTTTCCAGCCCTTGTTGATGGAAGTTTGAACTTGAATGCCGACGTGAGTTTTGCTCATCATTCATCACGTGTGGAAACGGAAAGAACAGCTTTAGTAGCGATGCGAACGGCGGTGTGTTTCTGGACTGGATTAGACTGGATTGACTACTTGAATTAAGAAAGAACGGGACGCTGTTGAGTTAAAATGGATTCTGATATTCCAAGTAGCATCATCATATCGACGGTGTCACTATTTAGACTAGGAGAAGATTGCTGGTCAATTCGATTTTAGGGGTGGGTTGAACTCGGTGGGCCTTTCGCTTCACGAGCGGCATGGTTTCCTTCTGTGCATAGCATGGTGTTCGACCGTGCTCTGCAGTGCATTGCCTTGCATTGCTTTGTATTGCCTTGGCCAACAGGGGGTGGGGTCTTGGCTCGCTTACAACCTTAACCTTGACTCAACTGTAAGAGGGATTGAATTCGTGTGTACAGCTGACAAGTTTTGGAACACGAGGGAGGCGAGGTTGCTTCCACGCGATTCTGTCGTGAGTCTATTTTTGGCCAGCGACACATGAACTGTTCCACAACAAAAAACACCAAGAAAAACAGCATGAACACGCACACACACACGAAAAATATAAAAATATGGTCCTGGAATATGTGCATGACCAAGCACTCCACAAGTGCACCAACATCTTGTACTGTTAGAATAAGACTTTCGGCAGTGAGGTGTAATCTCTCGGCGAGATACAGCAGCACATGTAGACCTCGCGTGTCGCATGCCAAACTGCCCGGCACCCGTAACACACAATGCCGTGGGGTATCGTGGCAACCGATCAGTTTGCAGAGGACCTGGTCTCAGCCAATCTCAATCTTCCCTACAAGCACACGACGGTTCCTCGACAGTCTGACGTATTTCCCGCGAGGCAGATCGATCCCACGAATTCGATGGCCGTGGTCTTGCTCTTGCTGTTCGTTCCGGATCACATCCTACTACAGCAGTACTGCTGTTAACTTGGACGTACCTCACCAGCAACATAGACGCAGTGAACAAGGCCGCAGAGAGAGCGCCAGTCGCTGGACGATGGCTGGCTGAGCGTCGTACTTGGAGGTATTATATATAGTATTCTAGAGTAGTGTACTATTCGTATTATGAATAGTATTATGCATAGACGGCTTGACTACAGAAAATAATAGTCTAGTCATCTTCCCGGTATACGATGCTCTCCTGCCCCATCTGCCCGAGCTTGAGCACCCCAAGGCAGCTCGAGAACAAGAATGTGGCTCCCAAGCTGGGCGTGAACAAGGGCTCGAGCGTCTGGGTGTAGCGTAGCGGAAGGGCCGGGAGTCGGAGCACAGGGATGGATGGGAGGGGGGGCGATTACCGTCTGCATTGCATTCAAGAACAAGAACAATCATTGCCGCGAAAAAACATGTACAACGCTAGGATAATTAGCGCACCCTCGGGTGTCCTGAGACACTAAAACTACTTCCAGCGTGATCCCCGTAGTCACAGCATGGTTCTGGCACTGCTTCGAGAGAGGGGGGGGGGGGGGGGGGGACTTATTATCCTTTTTTTTTCTACTCCTTAAACCATTAACCTCCCATCCCTTCAAAACCGGGACGGAACATGCCGGGGT